AAGGATAGAAAATTCCTGAACGTATATGAAGTCTTAGCTATCAAATAATTATTTCACCTTTCTGTGTAGCTAGCTGTTTTAATATTTATTTTATTTTATGATGGTTTCAGCACTTACAAGGTATGCTTTTAATCCTACCTTTGTAAAATAGGCTGGGGCTTGGCTGAAAGTAGACCCAGCATCAGAAGACCTGGCTATTTGGCCTCCCTGCTTTGCATGTTCTACTCTTGAAAGGCGTTAGCATATGAATATATAGTTAAGATCACCTATTTGTCATTATAATTTATCCCTATTTTTCCTTTGAAGCTTTGAAGTTCTTAGGCATTAGGGAGTTACATCATTAAATTTCTAAATTTCGCATGTATTCATGAGGATTACACATACAGTGGCTGTGCCACTTGTAACATGTCCAGAAAGTTTTGTAAAGATTCTAGGACATTTAGGGCATTGTGAACATCCTTTGGCTGAAATTAAATTACAGATAGGCTTTAAGCATTATCTTTTTTTACATTGGAACCTTTTAATAAATACCTGTTGGTTGTTTATAGAGAACTCTGAACAGAGATGATCAAAAGGCTATTTGGTTGTCATACTATGTAAATTCTGGTAAATGCTATAAACTTACACATAATGATGCCTGCCTTAAAAGGTTTGGAATTTATTCCTTTACATGTACAAATTTTAAAATTTCATTTTCTTCATTCGACAAACTTTGAAAGATTTCAGTTACAATTTTTTTGCTCTAATATATCTTGTCAGAAACAAAATAGGCTGATGAAACATAAAATCTGTTACCAGAGCAACAAAGGTAAAAACGTGTAATAGCCTGACTAATATTTAGTAGGACTTTTAAATAATGTTCCTTGACAGCCAAGACAGTGATAGCAGTTCAATTCTGAAGCTGAAAGAAAAGGTAGAAATACTGAGGAGAGATTCCATGGCTTAGGGCCTAATGATTTCATGTGCTCCCCAGTGTATTTCATCTGTCCTCACATTTTGCTGTACCACATTTCACTGTTTTCCTTATTTGACTGAAGATAAATGTATTTTACTTATTTCGGCATGTATCTCCATTTGATGTCTGAATTGATGAATGTGACAATTTGTGTACCAGGGTTTATTGCCTAAGTAGCCAGTTAGGTAGCGGTCTTTTGAGTTAGCATCTTCAGGAACATTTGGTTCAAAAGTGACTGCCAAAAGTACCTGGAGTTAGAAACTTTTGGTTTAGACCTTTCTAATTTTGAACTGTGAATGAATTTAACTCCTCTAACTTGTGGGATGTTTTTTGTATGAATCACTGGAAATTAATTATGTTGAGTGTGAAATTATTTGGGGTATGGACTTGAGTTGATTTCTTTTACTGTTTTATTCCTATTAGGATCGCTTTCATCTTGGAAGACTTTTGTAGTGAAAGAAATAGCATAGAAACTATGTTTTAGATATTTTATATATTTATTCGTCTTTTGCAAGATTTCAGTGTTTCTCACTAGTGGATTGGGCTACCCAAAAGATGAAAGCATATGAAAAAGTCAAAAGATTTTCCTCTGTTACGGGTACCTTAAATCTTGTTAGAACTTAATCTACTTCTGAATTTATTCTGACAGTTATTTTGCCTGTTAGGTTTCTTAAGAGATTAAAAACACCCTTTTGTAAGTGGAGAGGGTGTTGAATTTCAGGAAACCTTCAGATTTTTACATTATTAATTCCATTCTTCTTAATGCATTTAAAAAGCACATCTGGCTGAGGTAATTTGATTGTTTCAGTACAATGCAAATTGAGAAGCCAGTTTCCTGTACCCGAAGAACTTTCTTTGAATTGAACTTAGGTTATATATTCAATCTTAATCATTTTAGATATTTTAGGTCTATCTTTATGATATATTGTATATTTAAATAGTAAAATTCCTTGAAGATAATAAGAATTGAGATCACATTACATGGATTATCTACATTAGTTATTTTTTAAAAAATAATGAAGAAATTGAAATGGATTAAGTTATATTAAAATAAAATCAAGATCTATATTTACATAAATTTTAATGACTCCTAAAGGTAGTACATATTTTTTCATTAGTAACAAAAATGAGTCATGTTTATACATAGTTATTAATTATTATCAGTTATTTATGGACCAAGACTATTGTGGTTATTCTTAATAATGTGGACCAGTAAGCTCTAAAGAGATTATTAATATGCTAAGTCATAGAGGTATTATTATTTCCTTCATTTTTGCTTAAGGTCTAGCCCTTTATTAGTATATTTGAAATAAATATTTCTTAATTAAAGTTCATTAAGAATCCAAAGATGTTAATTATTTTGAAGAAATAACCCTCTAGGTTATTAGTGTCATTTTCCTTAAAAAAAAGACGGTATTAAACACCCTTAACCATTCCTGAAGTAGAATCACTACTTACAGGACATGTTATAGTACTGTCTGTTGAAAAGTTTAGCAATTTGACTTTCTGAGATAAAAATCAGTTTACTTTTTCTCTATCAAATAAAATATTTCTGTGAAAATCTGTTTCTGGGTATTGCTATACTTTTCAAAAGAATGTTGTGTTATGTATACTAGTTTTGGCTGACACAGATAGTTGCTTTTTGGTTTATCCTAAATATTTAGATCCTCTACAGATGAACTGATGTGTCTAGACAGGAAGTGGTATGTAGGAGATATAGGAATGGGCTGAAGTATCCTTTATATTTGCCTTTGTATCTAGGGGAGTTGGAAATAGGCAAGAATGGAGAGAAATTTTGTATGGCAGTACACAGAATTTTGCAAGTTTATTGTGAGCCCTGAAGCAATCCGATGCATTTTAGTTACTGGTAAGTTTGTTAAATTATGTTTGAAAATGTACCTCTTCGAAGATGGCCATCTATTTACTAATAAGTCCACCATGTCAAATATACCTATTTTAAAGATATTTTTGAAAAGATGTAGTATTGCTATTGCATTGGGTTTTAGGTATAAATTAAAAATACTTTTGTTAGTGAATGCATTTTACTTTTCAATTGTTGTCATAGTTAAAATTGAAGTAAAATTAACATTATATGGCTAGTCTTTGTTAATATTTTGGAATAGTAAAATTGATATTTCTGATTTTGTAAGGGAACTCCACCGTGTTTAGAAGTCAATTAATTCATTAGTTGTTTGAGAAAGAGTGTTCCTTTTGACGTAAAAGAATAAGAACATCTGCGGCATCTTTGTCATTTTGTATAGTTCCGTATAGGAGGGTGATTTATTGTAAGAAATACTTACTTTGCATTTTATTTCTTGGACCATAGGAACCATGGTGAGGCATTTCTAGTCTTTCTTTTTGGCAGTGCTGATGTTTAGGAATCTTAGTTGTTCTTTCCCACTAAATCACTAACTCAGGTATAGGTAAGAATTCCATGAACAGGTCAGGAAATTGTATAATCTCTATGCAATAGTTTTCATCATTTATTTTTCAGACACTTAGGCAGACCTATTATGTGTGCTAGTGCTTAGCAATTATTTGTGAAGTGGCTTTGACTATTGATAAAATTTATGTAAAATGGACTAGATTGCTTGTAGGTATTCTTAACAGAAACATTAAATAAATAAAATCCCAGGGGATTCCTTGCTATTTGTGTTCTTCTTACAAATATCTATCTTTGAATTTAGGACAAAGTACAAGAATATCAATGATTTGCAATACTAGTTTACTGTTTTCTTTTATGTGGTTTAAAGATAGAGGGCCAGTTAATGTAATTGAATTTTAATTTCTTGTAACTAAGTATTTTATTTAAAATATTTAATATATACTATCTAGCTTATATCAGGCTTTCCATTAAACTATCAATTTTTATAGTGATAATAATGATGCTAATTTTCTATTGACTTTTATGAGAATATTTCTGATTTGAACAAAAGTAGCCACATTATCAGAGAAATGTGGTTTTAATCCTATGGAAACCTGAAGAACTAGAGTAACTTCAGAAAATAGAATAACTTTAGTTCCTCTTGAGCCTTCAAATTTTCCTCATTACCAAATTTTCTTAATTTCATGTAGAAATGAGCAGTTGTGAATCTAAAATATATTTAGAAATTCATATGAATGTAAATATACAATTTGGGGTATATTATAAACCAGGGTAAGTGGGTATTATTTTAATTATTGATAAAGTTTGGCTTGGAGTTATTTATTGTTATAAACTGCAACAAAGATGTACTATGAAGAGTATATATTTTCTTGATTAGGAATGCTGCCATGTATCAGTGCTGCTGATTTGAAAATTGTGTAATTTTGTGAAGTAATACATTAACAAAGCTTAATGTAATGCAATCATTTCTTTTTCTTTTGTTTCTTCCTTCATTCCACAGACATACTGAGTACATTATCTTTGTCTGGCACATATCTTTTTGTGCTTTTATGTATTTGTGTATACATTGTGTAATCAGTTGTCACTTTTTATTTCAGTATGATGTAAATCATCTTATTTTCTTTGCTCTCATGAATTTTCCTGAGGGCATATATGGGACATAAGTAATATGTTGCATATTTCTCAGGATATTTTAATATATGTATACATATATATATATATATAAGTTGTTTTTGAAAAATAGGTCTAAATGAAAAGTTTATTTTAAAAAAAAAGGTGACCAAAACAGTATTGTTAAAATATTTTAAATTTTCTAAGAGAGCATGGGCTTCGAAAGAATATTATGATAGTATTTATTATGGAGAAGTATGTTTCTTATGTAAGATTTCCTTCAGGGAATATATATGTATAAAGATAAACTTAGATATTTTACCTTGGAATATAAAATAACTCCATAGTTATTTTTCCATATAATGTTTCATTTTAAAGAGATAAAACCTGTTTTTTTTCATGCTTGTGAGAAATATTCTTACTAAGATAACAGCAAAATAGATTAAAATTGAATATGATTGTTACCTTTTAGATTAATAAAATGGATCACTGTGTTTATGATCAATATTTGATGGTGACATAATGGAATTATCTGTACTTTACATGCAGTGCTACTCTTTTGGCATTCCTGGTTGAACTACTTAAAAGTTCAGTAGCCATGCAAGAACAGATGCTGGGTGGAAAAGGCTTTTTAGTCATTGGCTACTTACTTGAAAAGGTAAGTGAAATGTATTGATGGTTTTGTACAGATGGGCCATTGACAAATCACTAATTATACTTTTTTTCTGTAGTTTCCCCTTTCCATTGACTGCAGAGGTCACATATTTGGTTAATTCACAAATATTTTTAAGTTTTGTACTTGAATGTATGTATAGACACTAAATTGGGTGTTAGAAATCTACATAATAAAGAAATATTGAGTAAAAATAGAAACTAAAGAAAAATTATTTCATCTGCTTTTCTTCAAATTTAGAAATGTTTCTCTTAATTATTTATTTCTAATTGATTCTTTGCTGTCTTTTGCGTTCAAACCAAATTTCTTACACATTTTATCAATTTTAGTTTAAGTGGATTTACTTTTTTCTTTTTGCTTTCTTTCTCAGTTTTAAGGTAATAAAAAACAATATTTGGTAGCAACAGAAGCATTAGTTTTTGCTTTGTCTCTGATGTTAATATACTTGAACGTTTAAAGTAGCATTTTTTTCTAATCAATACATAGTGTAAACAGTGCAAAGTAGACCACTGTAATTCTTCCTGTGTGTGTCATTTATGCCCTGCTTTTTTAATGACCTTTGCTTTAGTTACAACTGTACTATGATGGCAGTGAGTGCTGAGTTTCTGGTAATGGTCTCACAAGAGTTTGATTGTATCATGTGATTTCCTTCAAACAGTAAAGTGATATTTCATAAATAAGTTTTTTTCTTTCCTTAAGAAATATCTACCACCATCATTAGTGCTCCCAAACCTCTTCTTATGAGTTAATCATTAACATTCATATGACATTCAGATGCTTTGTAAATGGAACTAACCAAGAAAATAATAAGAGGGGAGACCTGAACTAAGAGAAATAAACTTATTTTTCTCTTGAGAAATAAAATTTAGAGGTCTTTTGGAAATACTTTTTAACCTCAGATTGATCTACATTTGAAATTCTTCTCTTTTCTTTGAAACAAGTACTTTTGTTGAAGGATAGAGGAATAATAAATTATAAAAGAGATCATAGGCAGCATTTTTTAGTCAGATAATTTTTTAACTAAATTTATTAAGGTTTTCATTAAGTCTATTTAGTTATTTTTCATCGTAGAATACTATTTTCCTATGAGTATTGAGTTGTTTACAAGACTTGTGTTAAATTATATTTTACATGAGTTAGATATTATGAAATACCTTTGTGACACTGCTGTATAGGACATGATCACTATCAGGAACTACCTCTTAAATATACTTAATCGATTTACTGAGGGTTCATTAGCATAATTTTAAAGTGAGCATTCATTTGTATACTTAAAACTTAGCTTAAAATTCGAAATATTGTGAAAAGTCTTCAAATCAAATAGAAAGAACATTAGACTAATAATAATAGCTCCATCATTTTAGAGTCCCTCAGCAGTGTATGAGGTTTCTAGTCTTTTCACAGCCTTGGAAGCCTTTGTTATTATCTGAATATTTTAGTATTCTAGCCATCATAGAGGATGTGAAATGTTTTATCACTTTTGTATTTGCATTTCTGTGATGTCTAAATGATGGTCGAGCATTTGTGTATTTTTTGAGAAATATTTGTTACAAAGACCATTTTTAAAAACTGGTATTTCTTTTTATTACTGAATTGCAGGAAATTTTTATTTTGTATGCTAATCCTTTATTAGAAATATGATTTGCAAAGATAGTCTTCTATTCTGTGGATCACTTTATGTTTTAATGTACATTTCCTTGATTACAAATTAAGTTGAGCATTTTCACATGTTTGTTGTCTTTGAAGTTGTGCTCTTTTGCTAAATACCTATTCAAAGTATTTCCCCTTTGTCATTTGAATTGTTGGTCATTTTCTTATTGATTCATGGGAATTCTGTGTATATCTTGGATATGAGTCCTTATGGATATGCATCAATAATATCTCTTCCTCTGTGACTTGCGTTTTCACACTCTTAATCATCAAATGCTTTCTCTGCATTATTTGAGATAATTATGATTTTTCTACATTTTTTTCTTAGTTTACTGAGTTACATTAGTTGATTTTCAAAATTAAATATTCTTGTATTCCTGGAATCCTATGTAGTCATAGATCCATTCCCATTCTAATCCTTATGCTTCTCTTAAAATGGCTTATATCAATATCAAATCTTCATCCTATTTGACTTAATGATATTTTAGTTTAACATTCTTTCCTTCTTGAACTGCTTTGTTCAATTGCATTTTGTAACAACATTATTTCTTTGCTTTCTTCTTATCTCCTTGGCCTCCTTGAATTCTCTCCTAGTCCTTCCTCTTCCTAAACTTCAAAGCCTGTGGTGTCCTCCTGCTTAATCCTAGAAATCTTGTCACTTTCCTGTTTACACTTTACTCTAATTAAGCTCAGGGTTCCCTTAGCTTTCCTTATACTGCAGATACTTAAATGTGTATCTCCAGCTACCAGCCTCTCCCTTGAATCCAGTTCCACTTAGATGCTTAATAAGCGTCACAGATTTAAATTATCCAAACTGCTACCTTTGATTTTCCTTTCAAATCTTTTGTCCTTTACTCTTCTCTTTCTCAGTTAGCAGTATTGCCCTTCAACAAGTAGTTCAGATAAAAAATGTTCACTCTTTTTGACTCTTTTTTACACACAAAATTCCTTCTGGCAGCATATTGTGTTGTTTTAGTATCCAAACATAGAGTCAGTGACTAGTTGCTACTTATTAATACTACTCTGTTGGTCCTTTAATGGACCGGAACCTGGTGGTCCGGAGTCGATGATGAGAAAGTGAAAGAAGGAAAGAGGCTAATATTCCCTGGGTTACGCAGCTGGCTTTCACGTTCCAGGGAATCAGCCAGAAATAGAGAGAGAGAAAGAAAGACAGACACGGGGACCCAAGCTCTGATGGAGCAAAGGTGTTTTAGTCAACATGGTGTGGGCATATATACTGTCTTACAAGGTAGTTTTTCTCAGCAAAGATAAAGATTGAAATTCCAGACTTACAAAACATAAGACAATCCGTATTAAAGAGAGAGAGTTGTAAACAATCACTTTTACCATATGGTTGATAAGAAGGAAGAGGGTGCTTATCATTGTATTGAAAAACTAACGAAGGAAATGCATGGATTCCTCAGCCTTGGGAAAGGATTGCCTCTCCTAATTCCTGAATATTCAGGAATTAATAAGGAACAGAGGATTCCTGACAGATCCAAAACAGCACACAGGAAGCCTCCTGTTAAATGCTTCCTGACATTACTTGTTTCTATGCCCATTTTTATTCACCCTGTCATCATCGTTCACCACTAGTTACCCACAGTCCATTTTTTGCTTGCAGTCAGATTAGTCTTTTGAAAATGTGCCAGGTCATAGTCCATCCTTCTCAAAGTAAATTCATAAGTCTCTTACTGCTGACATATTACTGTTGCAGGAAGGGGGCCCGAAACTGGGCTCTTATCTAACACTCAGAAATGAATTGTCCGAGGGGACAGGTGCTGACAAAAGCAAGAGATTTTATTGGAAAGGGAACCCAGGAGAACTGCTCTGTCACATGGCTTGCAGTTTTATGGTGATAGGATTAGTTTCCGGGTTGTCTTTAGCCAGTCATTCTCACTCAGAGTCCTTCCTGGTGGTTCATGCCTTGTTCAGCCAAGATGATGCCAGAGAGAAGGATTCTGGGAGGTGGTTGGACGGGTGGTGTCTCCTTTTGACCTTTCACGAACTCTTCTGGTTGGTAGAGGCTTATGCTCTGTTCCTCACCAGGACCTCCTGTCTTAAAACAACTCATGCAAATGGTTACTATGGTGCCTGGCCAGGGTGGGCAGTTTCAATGTGCTTCCCCTAGCATTACCACTCTCATTCTTTCTTTCTCTGTTGCATCTACACTGACCATACAAAGGCCTCTTTGCAGACCTTTCTCTTAAAAACTAAAATAGTAAGCATGAACTCTTCACAGGACTTTTGCATTTTCTTTGCACATTGCTTTGGTAATTCTATAGATATCCACATGGCTTGATTCTACACTTCATTTATGATTTTGCTTATGACACTTTATCAGAGAAATCTTCCCTGATAACTCGGAATAGAATAGTACTCCTTTGCTAACCGTCAATGATTATTTCCCTGCTTAATTTTTATAGCACCAATCTGGCTTTTTTTTTTTCAACTTTTTATTTTCTGCTTCCTTCTGCTGTGTTTTTTGCCTCAGCTTCATGAAAACAGGGACAACAGTTTTCACACCTTATTGCTGTATCTTCTACCTAAAAGTATGTCTTCTTTTATATGTATTTGTTGAATTGAATTAAATAAATGAAAAGGGCTTATGTATTTATCTGATTACATAAATGAACTGTTGTCATTGTCCAGTCACTAAGTTGTGTCCAACTCTTTGTAACCCCATAGACTGCAGCACTCCAGGCTTCCCTGTCCTTTACTATCTCCCAGAGTTTGCTCAAATTCATGTCTATTGAATCAGTGACGCTATCTAAACATCTCATCCTCTGCCACCCTCTTCTCCTTTTGTGTTGTCTTTCCCAGCATCAGGGTAGAAGAATAAATAACTTTTTATTTTTTCTTAGATTAATGTTCACCTGTTTTATTTTTAAATAATCATCTGTTAGGTGAGTAGTGTAGATAATAAAGTTCCATTTTTATTTATCAACTAATAACAAGTTAATGGTTAACTGTCACTTAGCTTTATCTCCTTGTTTTGGAAGATGCAAGTTAATTATTAAAGAAAATAGTCTAATGAGACTATCTTATTCTTTATGTTTAGACTATTTCATGAAAAACTTTTAAGGTATTTTTGTTTTGTTTTATTTGCCAAAATATGAATTAAAAAAAAAACTTAGAGGCAATTTGATGTATTCAGTATTTTTGTTGTGGTTAATAAGAATTTTGTTAAATATCTTAAGCATTAAGGGAATATGTTTGCTAGTATAACTGGAAGTCTAGTGATAGGTGGCTTATCAGTTGTCTTGTTAGGAAACAGATGGTGTGCTCAAACTTGATTATTGAAAGCATTTAATACAAGGCTCTTTAAAAGATTTCTGAACATTGTTAAAGGAAATCATCAAAATTTGAAGAGATGAGAGGAATGTATGTTTAAAACACAACTCAAATAGAAAGATATTTTAAGTATAGGAGAAGTATACCTGACTAGAGTGTGGCCTTTAATAAAGGAATATAATGTATTGACCTGAAGGGGTGAAGCCAGGGAGATGCTTGTCCCAGACTTTATTTTCTTCCTGTCCTTTAATTTCCTGCTGGAGTCTCCAACTAGCCAAACCCACTGGAAGCACAGAAATAGGATGGGGAAGGTTGGAAAATAGATCATTACAGCCAGCGAAACATATCCAGTAAGTTGGACTTCTGGTTAGTTTGTCTTAAGTCTCAATTATGTATGTCAATAGAGACCAGGTTTTTCTCTATCTCTCTACTGCTACCTACAGTTATGCTTTTGTACTGTAGCTATTATTCTTTGTGGTCGTAGAGTTGCTGGGCCAACTTGGTGCTATAAACCTTCACATCTAAGTGAAGAGAGCTCTCTTCTCCCAATTACTGAAGAAGATCCTTCCCTCCAGTTTGACTGGTCAGCTTAGGTCTCAGTCTCCTTTGAACTTAACATTGTGAAAATTGTGATGCTGTCCCTCTTGACAACAACAATAATACACATAAATGATAGATCTCAGTGTCCATAAGGAGCTAAATGGGTAATGAAGATCAACTGCTTTATGATACACTTCTAGTAATTAAAATGATTTCCCACAATTTACAGTTTGCATATATATATGTATATATATACACATATTTGTTTATATATATATGAGAGAGAGAGGAGGTTCTTTAAAAACATTTCTAGCAATCCATTTCATTGTGGGCTGCTCTAAGTGTGGGGAAGACCTTTTTTTACTGCATAGCAATTTCTCTCTGTAACATTCATCACTCTTTTTTGGCTTAATTACTTTTGGAGTAGATATTATAATAAAATAGTTTTTTCTAGCTTCCCAGATTATGCTTCCAAATGTGTTTATTCACCCCTTATATAGCACTTCTTGCAAATTATGTATACAGTTACCACACAAAAGTAACATCATATAGTTTAAATTTCAGAGCTTGCATTTTACAGACTTTTAACTATAAATTGTCTTGGAGTAGGAAATGACAACCCACTTCGTATTCTTGCCTTGAAAATTCCATGGACAGAGGATCCTGGTGGGATACAGTCCATGGGGTTACAAAGAGTCGGACACGACTGAGTGACTAAGGAACTAACTATAAATTATCCAAAAATCTCTTTTTAAAATAGCTTTCCTTGACAAAATGAAAGCAAATATCATAATTTAAAAATATTTTCAATCAATCTATCTTAGTGAAAATGTTAAAATTGGATATCCTTCTATTCTCTTCTGATCAGTGTTTTGTCTTATCTGTTCTATTCTTACTCTGTTATTGAATTTGACATGAATTCAGTTAAACATTTAGTGAAGAATTATGGCAGGTTCCAGACAGTTAAAAGATGAATAAGATAGTATCCTTTTTTAATATCAGGAAAGAAAGGTATGTAAATAACAGTTATCCAAGGTAGAAGGAATAAGTACTGCATACTTACAGGTAAAGGTCACATACTATTGAAGAGAACTTTCATTTTATGCCTGGTAGGATTTTGTGTGGCCAATAAATAAAAAAGCACAATTGTAGAAAAATGTGTCCTGAAGATAAATTTTAGAATTAAAAAAAGCTACCCAGCAGTATTAATTGCTATGCAGAACAACGTACTTTTTTTTTTTTTTAGTAATGTTAAAGGCCCCACCTGATGCTTCTAAGCATATCTTTTAATTAGGTGGAGAAGTTAAAAGCTTGTTTCCAGATTATGAATTAGTTCCTCAAATGAAAATGTTCATAATGGTCAATCTGATTTCATATCACTTAAGTGTTTTTATAAACAAATGACAACTTTTATAGGCTAAAATCTGATCTCTAAGACAGGTTCTAACTATTGCTGTGTTATTTTAATTTTATTCCCCTATACATGATTAAAATAGTTTAGAATTTTAAAGTAGTATTATTTTTTGTATTAAAGTTTCTTTAAAATGAGTGACCATTCTGCTTTTTTGTATCTCAAATATTAGTTTATCTTTGTCTCCCTCCCCCTTGCAATAACAGTTGTCTTTTTAGGATTATTTCTTCCATCTTGCGAAGTTTTCATCTAAAGTTATGTTCTGAGGCTTGGTTTGAATTTTGTCAGACTGCTGCTGATCTCACTGTCCGTATTTTGTCACACAGCCTACTAATGCAAAATCATCACTAGCCTGCGAGCCTTATACTTCAGATTAGTTAAATGTTACCTTCTCAGTGAAATCTCTTTAAACCACCCTTCCACACATTTTCCATCACTTCATGTTCTTTTTTCATACTTTTCATACACTTGTTATATTTACATGTTCTACCTTTTTAAGTTTATTGAATGTCCTTGTCTTCTCTTTTATTAGAATGTAAGTTTTTTATTTTTATTTTTTCCAGTTTTGTGTTTTGTTAACTACTCTTCCCACAGTGCCAAGAAGCATACCTGACAAACATGCATATTTCCTGAAACTAAATGAAAAGCATGAGCTTGAATTTCTACTTTCTTTCTTTAGTCATCAAGAGTTCATATAACTAGAGCTGTCCTGGAGCAATTTTTATCGTTTGCAAAATACCTTGATGGATTATCTCATGGAGCACCTTTGCTGAAGCAACTTTGTGATCACATTTTATTCAACCCAGCCATCTGGATACATACACCTGCAAAGGTATACTATTTAACTTCAGTTATTTTAATATTGTACATTATAAATACATAGTTATTGGATCTAAACTATTGAGTAGAAAACATTGAAATTTTTCAATTTATAGTCAGTCTGAAGCAGTCATATTAGGCAGTAGTAAAGTCAAAAAGGTAAATACTCAAACATTAAAATAAGTGGAACTAGAGTTAAAAATTGTATTTTTTTAATGGGGCGATGAGAAAGTTCTAGAACTAGATAGTGGTGATGGTTGCTAAAAAAAAATCAAAGGTGTATTTCTTACCCTATGAAAGGTGAAACCCACTTAGATTTAAGACCAAAATTTGAGAGGTAAAACTATAAAGCTTATAGGAGAAATTGTTGAAAGGTATCTTTACAGTTTAATGATAGCCAAAATGTTCTTAATTAAGACCTTCCAAACCTCTCTTTTTAGGGGGTTAAGTAATGCATTTGATAATATCAAAATTATTTATCATTTGTTATCATTTGTTAAATGATCTCCATAGATGATGTTAATAAATAAATGATAGATTAGAAGGTATTTTACAATGTCAAACTATCGGGATAAGAGGGAAACATTGAATATGAGCCCTGATTCAGATATTAGTATTGCATAAATGTTAAATTTACTGAGTGGAGGAATTGTATTATGTTCTATGTAGGAGAATGGCCTTATTCTTAGGAGATTCACATTGAAATATTTGGTGCTGAAGTGTCTGAATGCCAGCAATCTTCTTTCAAACATTTCATCGAAAAAAAGTTTTATCAAAATATATTTATACATCTATATGTATAATATAATAGGAATAAAGGAAGCAGATGTGGAATAATATTAACAGTTGGTAAATCCTTTATGATAGTTACATAACTATTTTGTTTGAAAATTTTCAAAATAAGTTGGAGAAAATAGTGATTAATAACACTCAGAATGTAAAAGGAACTCTTGAAAAATCAATGCTAAAAAGGTTAAAAATTAGGCTTGATGTAATAAATGCATTCTGAAAAGTCATTGGATAATGACTTATAACCTTTCGAAGAAAGAAAATCTGGTACAATGATTATTAAGATTAGGAAAAGAAAAAATACCAGATAACTATATCACAACAATTGTCATCATTGTGGCTGGAAAATTCCTTCTATTTGAGCATAGATATTTTTTATCATGATATCATGATATGTAAAAATATTTGTTTTAAAAGAAATTTATTCATAATTTTTTAGATATCAGCATAACATTTTTATTATTTTGCATACCTGAATTTAGTTCTCTTTTATTCTAGTAGGGACCTTTTCTAATAGGTCCCTTATTCAAGGGACCTTTTGAGCTGCCTTTTATAATTTTCAAGTCTCCCACATAACTGCAAAGTACTATTTTCTTATGGTTTGTCATTTTAATTATTGTGGTAAAAGTCAAACCTGGTGTTTGTTCATTGTTTAAACAGGGTGATTAAACTTGTCATCTTTATACTTACATGTTAGATTCTGATACTGTGACAGTAGGTTAAGAAAATTTGAAATTACATGAACTATTAAGGTCTATGACAACAATGTATAATTTTTCTAAATATGATATAGCTGACTGATATTATGTTCCTTTCAGCTGCTACATTGTATTTTGATTAAGGGCTTTAGTCTAGCTGGCTTTTTAAATAATTTGATTTTCTTATCAGGTGTAATTTCAATAGAATTATTTAATTAATTAAAATTATTTTATTTTTAAGAGCTATTGGATTACCTTTAGTAAAATAAATTTTATTACAATGTGTTGATTGCAAATTATCTTTATAATATAAATAACACTTAATAAATAATTATTTTTAACCTCATAATAGATGATTCTTTCTTAGCCTTTATATAGATTTACATTTAAATTAGAATAGAATGTATATTTTTAATGTAGACACTTAAGGCATTTTAAATTTATTTTAATGCTTTGTTAATATTCTGTACTAGGTTCAGCTTTCCCTATACACTTATTTGTCTGCTGAATTTATTGGAACCGCTACCATTTATACTACCATACGCAGAGTAGGAACAGTATTACAGCTTATGCATACACTAAAATATTACTACTGGGTCATTAATCCTGCTGACAGTAGTGGCATTACACCCAAAGGTTTAGGTAAGTACAATATTTACCTATCTAAGTTGTGCATGGTGATGAAATTGGGAAAGAAATTCGATGAAGAAACATTGGGAAAACTTTGATTTGAGGGGGAAAAGGGAATTTATTAAGTTAATAGAAGTAGGGAACTTCCATATAAGATGTGATATTATAATTTATCAATGAATAGTAATATATTGTAATTTTAAAAAAATAATTTTTCCCCAAAATCTGACATTAATAAGCAATTTGAAATTGCCAAAATCTGAAACTTTATATTCTCTGTTGTTGAAACTATACAGAATTACTATGAATTTATATTATAATTGCAATATATATAACTTAAATTTTCCATAATATCACAACATAATTTCATTAAGCTTATTATTAAATAATAATAATTAGGGAGTTTTGTGTTTTTGTTTTTGTTTTTTATTTCTGTTTTATTCTAGATGGCCCCCGGCCATCACAAAAAGAAATTATATCACTGCGGGCATTCATGTTACTTTTCCTGAAACAGCTTATACTAAAGGTAAAACAGTTTTATATAATTCATAATTGCAGTATATTAAGTGAAAAGAATTTCTGCCAGAGTTTAAATCAATATTGTAAAATCAGTAATAACTACCTTCAATTCATGAATTACTTTCAGTATTCTATAAATCTTAGTATTAACTCTTGTTGAACTTTACTTTGCATTAAACTTTGTGTTAAATATTCTCTGAAAGCCTCCATACTGAGGGATGTAGCAAAAATGGGTGAGGAACATGTGCATGAAAATTGAGCTTGAAGATTTTATTATAGAAAATGATCTGTGTTTCTGTTTGAGAAGTCTTATGTTATATATTTTATAACAGTAGGATTTTTAAAAGATTAAAATACATAGAAAATAAAGGTAAAATACACAGTAATTGATATTGTAAAGTCTTACTATAATTTGTATTATTTTAAGTAAAGAATATGGGATTAGAAAATAGTGATTCAATATACTTAGATGAAAAAAAATAATAATTTTTGATAGTGAATTCAATCAAATATTAGCAATTTTAGACGAATAAATATATGTTTCTAAGTATTTACTTATTTAACTTGATTTGATATAGCCTATGAGTTATGAAGTATCTGAGTATTATAATTAAAGAATCATTACTTTTAAGTAGTTTATATTTAATTTTAAAATGATTAATTTGATGTATATATTTAATTAAAGTTTTCATTTTAGATTTAAATTAAATATATATATATTTTAAATTAGGATCGAGGGGTCAAGGAAGATGAACTTCAGAGTATATTAAATTACCTGCTTACAATGCATGAGGTAGGATATGGTCTGGGTCTTGCATTTTAACAATTTTATTCAATGCATTAAAAAACATTTATAATTGAATAAATATCAATGATCCTTATTATGCAGGATGAAAATATTCATGATGTGTTACAATTACTAGTGGCTTTAATGTCAGAACACCCAGCATCAATGATACCAGCGTTTGATCAAAGAAATGGAATAAGGTATGAATATAAGTATCATTAGTAGAGTTTAATTGAGTACAGGCATGCTTCCCCGAATAATCCTATTCAATTAACTTTTGAGTATATATAGAAAAATCTTACACATAAGGGAATAGATGGAGAAAGCTGTCATTAATCCTCCTAATACCTAGGAAACTGATGAAATGTATAGAAAATGGGTCTCAAGTCTCAAAAAAAGAGTAATTATATTGTTGCTGTAGTAAAGACATCTCAAGTAGTTGAAAGAGCAAATTTTTTGACAGAAAGATGAGAGGGCATGGTATATTTCAGCTAAAGAGAGCTCTAGAAAATCCTATGAGCTTATACTCAAGAGGTAGAGAGTGACCAGGTTGAAGGATCCATTTAATGGTAAGAACTTTAAATTTTTTCTGTTGGTGATGAAAACTAAAGAATTTTGAACATAGAAATGATTTGTTGATTTCTATTTTTCCAAGGAGCAATGTGGAAAATGAGTTGGAAAGAAATAAAACTAATGTAGCAAGACCAGTAGAGAGATTATTTTATTCATAAGTATTAGGGATGATGAGCTAGGACAATGGCAGTGTGATGGGAAGATGAGGATGAAATGTTTTTGAATAAGAATTCAAAACCGAAGAATTTGAAAACTTGAGTTATGTTGATTGTAAAGTTATTGTGTAGATATGAGTAAAACAGTTTCTTAGTTAGTATGCTTAAGTACTTTAAACCTATAACCTAGCCTCTTAGGGATTCTCTCATTTTTCTGGAATCTGAGTTATTTGTATAAATAAGAAATCTAGGTTATGCCACATGTAACTCAGTGAGCTTTCACAGATTATAAACAGAGTTTGGAAATAATATATTAATAACTGTCAAGAGACTATATTATTAGTGCTTCTTTTACTTGGTCATTTATATCAGCAAATAACAACTTTATAATCTTGAAGGATTTCCTTTTCAAGTTAAAGAAGCCATCACTTTTTTTCTATGTGAATATCCAGCTTGTGACATCACTCTTATCATTGAGTTTACAATCCATGGAGTTGCTGGTCTATTTGAATAATAGGATTATACATTTCATTAGTAACAACTCCAAGTATATTTTACTGTGAGGTTGAACTCTATGAAATTGCTGAAACTTAAGTGATTTTACCAAATAATAGCAATTTCATATGGTACAATCATGTTTCTCATAGTTGATACCAGCTGAACATGTCACACTGTTTGTTACCAATATGTTAAAAATAATCACAAAGATGAAAAATTTGCTGCTTTAGTTTTTCATTTTAAAAAGAATGTGGAGAATATAGGTTCTGGTTTGAAACATGGAAAAAGTAGACATATTAGATATAAAATTTTAAATGCTGTACCCTAGAAAATAGGAACTAAAAGGTAACAGTTATGTATGGGGAAAATTTTGATTAATTATAATTCATACATGCTAAGAAGTGAACACAAAGATTGCACTTAATACTGATAATATTAAACTGGGCTTAAAGAAAACCTTGTGGTAATACAACACTGAACTGAGCATCAAAAAATGTAATATTTTTGTATCTCAAAATCTTTAAAGAATAGACAGTTTCTTTTTTACATCATTTTCTGGCTGAATGTAATAGGCTAGAGCAAATTAACTAGAATTCACCTAACTATCCTATTATATTGTAAGTAAACAGTCATTAACTGAATCATTAGTAAATTTCATATTCATTCTTCGTATTATTTTTTAAATAACTGGTTATAAAAAAATCCTATGTAGCATAGATGTCTGATGGCCTTAGATCTTTCATGTTTCAAATATTAAATCATAATTTCTGTTGATCTCAGGTGTATTTATACCTTTTTATCCCTTAAATTTATTCCTAAAGAATAGGTATTCTGTGGAGTTTCTGATTACATATTTGAGTAGAGTCACATTTTTATGCTGTGAGGTTTTACTTTTGTTTTCAAGATTATTTTTGCTATTGAGTGTTCTTTTTATGATTCCCTGAATATTTCTCTCTCTCTTTTTTTTTTTTTTTTGACATGTATAACTTTTCTATGGGCTTCCCAGTTGACTTAGTGGTAAAGAATCCACCTGCCAGTGCATCTGATGCAGGTTCGATCCCTGGGTCAGAAAGATCCCCTGAAGTAGGAAGTGGCAACTCACTCCAGTGTTCTTTTCTGGGAAATCTCATGGACAGAGGAACCTGGCAGGCTGCATACAGTCCATGGGGTCACAAAAGAGTTGGACACGACTTAGTGACTAAAACAACAATGATAAAATAATGTTTCTGTTCTCATACTTGTCTTTTTTACTGATATTGGTCCTTAATAATTCTGAAAGTATATTGCAGTGTAAATTTGCATTTATTTAAGAACTTGAATGGCAAGAACTGGAGTGGCAACCCACTCCAGTATTATTGCCTGGAGAATCCTATGGACAGATGAACCTGGCAGGCTACAGTCCATGTGGTCACAAAGAGTCGGACACAACTGAGTGACTAATGCTAATAGCTTGAGGCTTTTCTAAAAAACTATCTTCTGAAGGAAGTAATCACTCTTCTCATCATCTGTTCTTCAGTAAAGTAATAAGACAGTATTATCAACAATGTATTATTTGGTTTTTTAATAGCTACTGTTAAACATAAAATAGATGTTATTAACTTTCAGTTATTTGTTTTTCTCTGTTACTGTCCCTGAAATGAAAGGAAAATTATACTTTGCAAACAGTCAGGTCGGACAGAACTGAGCAACTAAGTATGCACACACCTTACAGAAAATTATTTCCAAAAATAATTATTTTTTGGAAAGAAAATGAGATAAAATTTCTGAAGTACATATAAATATTACTGAAGTGACTGTAAGTTAGGTCATGTGTTAGTTTGTTGTAGAACACATTTGTGTAGGAACCAAGAATTGAAACTCTTTGAAGAAACAAGTTTGCTTTCTCTGCTGCTTCCTGTATAGATGCTTTATTCTTTTGTGCATAGATTCACCTTTGTGAACAGAGCATGACTGTCCTACAGTTTCTGTTCTGAATCATTTCCTAATTCAAGAGCCCAACAAAGATTAGCTATTGTTTCTCAGAACTTATTCCAAATTTTCAGAAAAGAAAAATAATTGAGCAGGTATGTACTCCCATGGTCCAATTAGCCATAACCAGGAAAAAAAGGTCATTAAGTACAAATGTCAGGGGAAATTCTAATAGAAGAAGAAATGTGGCTTAACTTAGCATGAATCTTAAAATTGAAAATTATATTTAGTGTGCTGGGAGGCATAACTTACGAACAACCAATTGCTTTGTCCTTTTGAGTATGTATTTGAAGTTCAAATATAAAGAAAACTAATATGCTAGTTTTCAACTTTTTTCAAAGAATTTAAAATTCTGAGATATTTTATGTTTTATACATTTATAATTTCCTTGTAAAGTATATGGTGCTTATATTTTTAATATTCAAAAGTGCTCAAAAGATCATTTATTTCTATATATTTTAGGGTAATCTACAAATTATTGGCCTCTAAAAGTGAAAGTATTTGGGTTCAAGCTCTGAAGGTTCTGGGATATTTTCTGAAGCATTTAGGTCACAAGTAAGTTGATGTTCTCCATAATGAATTATAGAAATATCTACTGAAATTGTGTTTTTACTGGTTTAGTAACACATAAATTTGATTGGAATGATGTTACAATGAAAAGTAATAACTTCTTGTGGTAAAAGGAAAAACATTTTATAAAAGAATGTTTTTTTAACAGTAGTTTATCACACTTAAGTAATTTACTTTATTCCTGTTGTATACTGGAAAGAAAATATTGTTCTTTTAAGGATAACGTAATATATTTCATCAAATAAAATAAAGGACATGGGGATATGATTTTAATGAAAGCTTTCTTGACACAGGCGAATATGTATATTGAGGTTTTGCTGATAGCTAAGTCAGTATTTAATATCTGTTTGTATTATTTTCTAATTTTGAGGCTTATTGTGATTTGAAGATTCTACAGTATTCCTTTTTTCCCCAAAGTCCAGAGTTTAGATACTTTTAAAAATCATTTGCTGAGAAGAAAAAACACAAACAAAAATCACTTGCTGACATAATGAATGTTTTTCATACTATGTGGTCCTGTGCATGAATAGTCTTGTATAAATCCATTTTATATACAAATGAGCCCAAATACTGCCATTTAGTAATGATGGGTAGGGTTCCTCTCAGAATTTTTGAATTGCTAATTTTTTTTGGTATTTTGAATTGTGGAGAGTGATCAATAACACTAATGAAAATTTCACAGCATTCAGATAAAACATGTCTAACATGCTAAATAGTCTAGAAAAGTAAATATTATTTTCATTTTGGTACCAAATCAGTAGTTAAGAGAGAATAGTGATATTACAGATCTAGAGAGTAGTTCAACAAAGCCAGGATTGTAGAAAAGAGTAATGCGTACTTGAGGAACTGTAAGTTGACTAGGTGATAGAATACCAGGAGTGAGAGCATATTCAGTTTTAACTTGAAGAGATATGGCTCACTCATTTAACTTTGGTTAAGTATAGGAAATTGATTGGGAATAATTAATAAAGGCTTCTTCCCTATATACAACCTCTTAAAAATTGTCAAGAAACACATTTTAAAACATAGAAATGTAGAAAAGATAAGCAGAACTAACCAGAACATGAAGAATAGTCACTGGAAAATATTGCCATGAAGTACACAATAAATATAGTTGAAAATTTTACCATAAGTTTAAAAAGTAAGAAAGAATTTCTTGTGAGAAAGGGAAGCTCCAAATCTGAATTTCACAAAGTTAAAAGAAATGATGGAATAACTTTGAAATGTTGAATCATGAGCTAACAAAATTTTGAAACAAATTGGAAGCAAAAACTGTCAAACAAAAATGAAATTGGAAGATGCTCAAGGAAGACAAACTCTGTGAATAGCACAGTAAAATATACGGAAGATAAAAGTGAAAACAAAGCAAATAATGTGCATGGATGAATATAAAAGAGTTCAGAAGGATTAAAGAGGAAATGATTGATACAGAAGGCATAGAAATTCCAGAAACATAAAAATGTCATAAATACAGTTTCCAAATAAGAAAAGCAGAACAATGTAACTAAACAAGTGTTTTTAAAGCTATAATTCAGTGAACTTCTAATATAGATCTTGCCATCCTTATTAAAAGGTATATGCTGTGTACCAGGGAAAATTTTTCTTGAAATGGTCTGTAGGAAAGTATACTATTAGATTTAAATATAAAATTTTTTTAAGTCCTTTTTTCAAATTCACAAGTTAAAGGGAAAAAAAAAAATTACTCTGGGCTTAGGCTTCTCTATGACAACCATCAGTAGAAAATGTAAAGCAGTAACCATAAGGTACTCAAGTAAAGAAAATGGAAGCCAAAGTATCCTTTACATAAAAGTGTGCTGCCAAACAATTTTTAACCATGTAGGGAACTGTTTTTCTGAATAATTCTTGAACAAATTACTGGGGGTTAAGTTCAGCCAATTAAGACTGACTGGACAGACTGCAGCCAAGTACTATTGATGAACACTGAATTAATTTAATAGTAAAACTAAGACTAAAACAAATGTTTGAATTAGAGGTTAACAGACTGGAATTTCCTTTTTGTATGCCCTAATAAGGTAGAAATTGTACAGTTATAATGAATTGAGAAAGGACTAGGGAAAGGAAGAAAGTAGACAAAGTTCAGAGAGTCAAAGGATACCCATGTAAGCTAACAGTAGAAATGTAGGCCTATTGAATGAAATTTGATGCTTTAGGAGAAATGAAAATTTTAGTAAATATGCTGATTTTATCATTGCCTATCATTGGGAAATACATGAACTGCCTAAACACATAAAGAACTTATTCCTTTATAACAACAAAGATGAGTGGTTAAAACTACTGTAATGCTCATCAAGACTTCCCTGGTAGTCCAGTGGTTGAGACCCTGTGCTTCCAATGCAGGGGGCACAGGTTTGATCCCTAGTTGGGAAACTGAGATCCCAAATGCCATGCAGCCAAGAAAAAGAAAAGAAAAAATGAAAACAAGAAAACTGTAATGCTGTCAATATATTAAAAAATACTGTATAAATAAAACTGAGAACAATGCATATAATGGATGTTTTTAAAATTCAAGAAGCATAAAATGTGGCATATGCATGCTAAGTCCTTTCAATCATGTCCAACTCTTTGTGACCCCATGGACCAGAGCCCACCAGGCGCCTCTGACCATGAGAGTCTCTAGGCAAGAATTAACGTATGGGTTGCCATGCCATCTTCCAGGGGATCTTCCTGATCCAGGAATCGAATCCACATATCTTAAAGTCTCTTGCATTGGTAGCATGTTCTTTACCACTAGTGCCACCTGGGAAACCCAAAACTATAATACATAAATACAAATGAAAAATTAAGGAATCACGATCTTATTATTGGGCAAGTTAGAATTCAAGCCAAAAAGCAATAAGCAATATAAACAAAGATACTTTATAATATTAAAAGTTGAAACTTTCATGAAACAGAAACTACAGAAGAAATAATCACTGATAATTTAAAACATTGAAACAAACTCTATTTCACCCCAGTCCATAAAAAGGCAAAAGGGAGAGTAATGTAAATAATAACATAAATCTAATTAATATAGCTTGAAGTCGGTGCCATATTAATTAAGACTGTAACTCCCAAGTATTCATGGAACATGAATGAAAATTTGACATGGTGTGAAAGTGAAAGTATTAGTCTCTCAGTCATGTCCGACTCTTCGCCACCCCATCGACTGTAGTTGACCAGGCTTCTCTATCCATGCAATTCTCTAGGCAAGAATACTGGAGTGGGTTGCCATCCCTTTTCCAGGAATCTTCCCAACCCAAGAATCAAACCCGGGTCTCCTTCATTGCAGGCAGATTCTTTACCATCTGAGGCACCAGGGAGGCCAGACATGGTAGGGTGTAGTAGGCATCAAAGAAAAAATCCAAAACGGAGAGACAAAACAGTCAAGATTTTCTTGTTAAAATGCAACAAAATTGAAAATAGGAATAAAATTTAAAAAAAAACAAAGTTTCTTTTTCTTAGACATTTAAAATTTATTAAACAACTTTTGTGTCAAAGAGAAAGTACACTAAAATTGCAGAATTTTTGGAAAACAGCTTCAAAACCCCATTGAATACAGCTAAAGAAGTGCTTGGGAGAAGGAACTGGCAACCCACTCCAGTATTCTTGCCTGGAGAATCCTCTGAACAGAGGAACCAGGAGGGCTGCTGTCCATAGGGTCGCCCAGAGTTGTACACGACTAAAGCAACTTAGCATGCACGCATGCATAGGAAAAGGAAATGGCAACCCACTCCAGTGTTCTTGCCTGGAGAATCCTACGGTCAGAGGAGACTGGTGGACTGCCATCTATGAGGTCGCACAGAGTCGGACATGACTGAAGCAACTTAGCAGCAGCAGCAAAGAAGTGCTTAGAGGAATATCATAGCTATGGAACAATAGAAAAGAAATACAGAATAAAATAATTAAAGTATAAATGTTAGATAAGGAATTACAATAAAGGGAAATAATAAATTAGAAAGTAGTAACTAAAGATTTAAAAGACAGATAATAAAAAAAAAGACATAATCATTTAAAAATCTGATTTTAAAAAATTGTAATAAAAATGGCTAGCTAACCATTAAGCAACTGAAGAAAGGGCAAACATAATGAATGTACAAAATCAGTGATAATTTTCTTAAATAGTATAGAAACTGAGGAAGTTAAAAGAATCTTACATGATAAGCTTTCTCTAGAAATTGATAAGACAACCCAGTAGAAAATAGGCAAGGATATATGTAAGTGAACAATTTATAGAGGCAAATACATGTGGCACATCAATATTTGAAAGGAGGTGAATTCTACCTCTAGTAGAATATATATATGTAATTCTACCTGTAGTAAGGGAAATATAATCTAAAACTAAGCACATTGTTCATGTAATAGCTGGATAGAAATCTCAAAATTCAGCATCCTTCTCTGTTAGCAAGGTCATGGGAAGAGCAAGCATCTTACACATTGCTAACTAGAGCATAAACTAGTATAACCCCATATGGAATGCAGTTTATTTTTTGTCGATGTCTGTCAAAATTACAAATACATGTACTTTTTAACCTAACAATTCATCAGTTACAGGCATGTGAAATGATAGCTATTTAGGGTTATTCATTTTTTCTTTGTTTATAATAGTAAATGTTAGGAGAAATCTTAACTTTCTGTTAATGGGGGAATTTGTTAACAAATAAGTTATAGTTCATTTATTAAATGGAATACTGTGTAGTTATAAGACCAGTGAGATAAGTGTCAACATACAGATACAACAACAAAATTGTTAAAAGATTAAAAATAAATAGTTAAGATGGATATGTATCATTAATAGATGCTATTTTTGTTTAAAGAAGAGAACATGAGAACATAGTACTTATTATATTTGCAGTGAGAAAGTCTAGTCAAATTCATAAGAAATAAATCAAGAACAGTGGTTTCTAATGAGTTGGTAGAAATGAAGGTATATATAGATTATGTTAATATTTTAATCATATTAATGTTAGTTATAGAAACAATTTTTT